CAGGTCTGTGACCCAGAAGACCTCACAGCAGTGCATGGAGGGAGGCCTCGGGCCGGCCTTGGGTTTCAGCAGCCTGTTCAAGAACAGTAGCCTATTGCTGGTAAAGTTGGGTCCCAGAGCCTGAGGCCTGAATCACCCCAGGGGTCCGAACCCACTGGAACCATCCCAGGTGCCTGCTGCTTCTGTGGGGCCTGCTGGGACTTCAGTGGGTAGTAGGAGCGGTGGCAGCTTGTGCCTGGCCATCAGAGAGAGGCTGCGGCAGGCTGCTCTGGTGTGTCCTCATAGCTCCTGTCCCCTTTGACTCTCAGCAGCTGGTAGGTGGACACAGCAGTGGCCACAGGTTTGTGCTGCTACTGCTGCTGGTCTATGCCCTTGGCTACCTGGGGCTGATCTTCAGTTAGGTGCTTCTCATCTGACGCTGCGAAAGGCCAGCCTCCTGAGTCGTGTGCTGGCACTTTGGATGACGAGGAGCAAGCCGTATGCTTTGGGGTGCATGCCTGCAATTTGCCTGCCTGGGTTCATCTTCCAGACACCAGAAGAGTAGAATGGCTAAGACAGACGGTAAAGCTCATGTGGTCTTTACTGGTCAATTTATAGAGACGCTCTTTTGAGAAACCATAGAACCAGAGTTCAATGATGTAAGGTTTATATTGAAAATGTAGACAAAGGAAAAATTATTCTTGACCTTCAGATTAGTATTGTAGGAAATTGTGAAAATGATTTGGAGATCAAATAATATTTGTGTAGAGCTGGGGTGAAAAGTGTTCGGATTCATGGGGCAATGGTGATCCTAGAGCCCTTAACTGGTGACATGCCTTTAGTCGGAGCACCGTCCACCTCCTTCCCATTCCTGGACTGGATGGTTTATCAGATACTATCATTTTGGATATCATATCAAACTGACAGTCACAAAACAAGATCTCATCAGGGCTCCCTGCACTTCCTTACAGCCCCATGCAGCCCCCTCCTCCACTCCCATCCCTAATGCCACTCAGAGGACTGAGCTCAGGTACCTGTCATGTATTAGATCTCACTAAACATCTATATCTCTTTACTTCTCAGAAAAGTCGTAGTCCCGACTCAATTAAAAATCAAAGCTGGCTTTAGATTTGGAGCATGGCTCTCTCATTCTTTAAACCCAACATGTTGTTAGAAGAAAAATTCAGAGTTTCTGTCTCACATAAGAGCCACCTGGTGTGGGACAGAAGAAAACCAAAAGTCTAGGGACTATTGTTGTTAAAACTGTTATCTCCCCAAAATTCTATTTCTCTTTTTGACTCTTTAGTACCTTTTTTTGGTTAAGCAACTTAAGTATATATTAACAGACTGATAGGTAGGTAGGTAGGTAAGTAGGTAGATATGACATGTATAGTTAGTAGAATATTATTACATTTTTCATATGTCTATGCGTCTACATGTATGGCTCTGCCTATGCCTCTCAACAACTCAATAACTTTCTGGGTTCCTGGAGGACTTCCCACACCACTGGCAAACCCCACAATCCACAGGCACAAGCCACTGTGGAGAGACCAACAGAGCTCTCAAGGAGCTATTGGCCAGGACTATCTTGCCAGAGACTAGAAGAGGTCCTCATCTGTCCTTAACAGAGGTCCTTTTCTATATGAACTTTTTTAGATTTGATGACAGGGAGCTCAATCCAGCTTACAAGCACTGGGCAACTCTGCCAAGGAACACACCCCTGCCCCTGGGGAAATGGAGAGATCCTATCTCCCTCCTGCCCCCGTAACCCGTGGGAGAGGGTGTGCTTGTGTTTTCCCTCAGGCTGCCACAACAGGTCCCAGTAAGAGATATACACCCAGTCATGGATCAGCACACTTTTACCAAGGAGGGAATAACCAAGAATGGGTAATGTATATACTCCCCTCTCTTGTTCTCATTGCCCCCCAAATTGATTATTTTTAATAATAATTAAAAATAATTCCTCATAAAAAAAAAGTTTGGCATAATATAAAAAGGCTATTGGATCCTTCCTGATGTTCACATATGCATTAATTGGTGGGGTGTTGCTGTTAAGTCTTATTCTCTTCAAATGTCTCATGCAGATCCAATATCAGGGGACAGAAACTAAGGTGACTTTTCAGGTGTTAAGGGCTCTCTTGCAGTCCTCTACAGGAGGTTATGCATGCCTGGTGTGCCTGTGTGTGTTGTTTTAGTTTTTGGTGTTTTGTTTTGTTTGTTTTTCGAGTTACTCTGTGTAGTCTTGGTGCCTGTCCAGGAACTGAGATCTGCCTGCCTCTGCCTCCCGAGTGCTAGGATTAAAGACGTGAGATACAACCACCCAGCATCTAGCCTGGTTATTTGTAATTCAAACAGTTACTGCCTACTCCCCTAATCCTGACAGCTCCCCAGGAATGTATGCTCTTCTAGGGATGGCAGTCAAAGACAGGTAAGAGCTTGTTTGGCAGGACAACCTAAGACAGGCATAGTTCAGTTGCTGAGCCCTCCTGAGACAGGGTCAACAAGACCTGAGCAAAGAACTATGACTCCACTGAGCACACATGTAATAAATAGAAAGGGTGGATACGTAGGAAGTTAAGGCCTATCAGACCAAAAGGAGCAAACCCAGAGACCGCCAGTGCTCTCAAGAGGTCCTGGTCACGACTAGCCACAGGCGCTGTCAGAGGTCCTGATCGTTCCTAGCCAATGAGGAACAACCATGCGATGTCATCTGTCAACGGGTCAGAATACCGGGGTATAAGATTTTTCCCCATTGTTGAGTCTGCTGTAGACTTTCTACCTGATTCCCAGCTCTTGAGAAGTTGACATTGCACCTTATATCCCCTCCTCCTCCTCTAAGGAAGAGGATATCTTCCTTATCTCAATAATAAACCAAAAATTCCAAATTAGAAACAGGAATAGCGGCAGCATTTGGGAGGCTCAAGGCCAGCCTGGGTTACACAGTAAGTTCTAAACCAGCCTATCTCTAAACAAAAAAATTTCAAAGTTCAGAATTACAGCCAGGCAGTGGTGGCGCACGCCTTTAATCCCAGCACTAGGAAGGCAGAGGCAGGTGGATCTTTTTGAGTTCGAGGCCAGCCTGGTCTACAAGAGCTAGTTCCAGGACAGGAACCAAAAAGCTAAGGAGAAACCCTGTCTCGAAAATTCAAAAAAAAAAAAAAAAAAAAAAAGTAATAAATGAGTACTTTGAGTCTTACTGACTTTTCTTCAGGAAAGTTATTTCCTGTCTCTGAGCTTTCATTTGTTCATCTGAAAAATGGGACTATAACTTCCTAGACGTGTACAAGTATTTGGTGATATTAAATGAAATTATTCAACATTTCACTGAGAACTGGCATAAAACAGGTAATCAACAATTATGAGTTCCCCTCTCAGGCTCTCTCCACTGTCCACTCAAAACTTAGTTCTTCCTATCTCTTTTGGTAGATTATTAGCTCCTGGAAATCAGGGACCTTCTCCTCTTGTTTCTGTATCTTCACAATATACAGCATATAAAATATATTCAATCCACGTTCATTGGATGAATAAAAGGGTCAGTTAGCACCCTAATGTGACGAACTCTTGTTTCCTTAGCTAAAAGCTGACCCTGGCCCTCAGATCAGCCTCCAAGATAGGAGTGGTTCAATCACAAGTGGGAAAGTTCACAACAGCCTCTACCAGTGCTGGAAACTATCTGAGAGGGGCAGGACTCCCGCTGAGTGGCTGATCTCTGTCCTGTGCAGAAGGAAGCAGTGAGGCTCTGCAGCTTTCCTGTGCTGCAGTGCTCTTGCAGTGCTCCTGCAGTGCTGCTGCGCTGCTGGTGGTGTCTTTGTGTAAGGCAGGCAGTGGCAACAGGTTCCTTCTCCATGACGTCCCATCCAGGGTTCACTAAGCCTGTCAACTGTGCTAGCTGAAGGTTTAGGGGTCTCAGACTCCATATATCATCTGATCACAGAGCTGTGTCTCCTTGGGTTCCTACTTTAAAGGTAGGCAATAGCACTATCCAGGGGAATCCAGGCTTTCTGATATTTCTTTGCTGTCAGTAGGAGCAGTGAGTGTTGGAAATAATTCGCAAAAAAATGCCTTTGCTAAAGAAGATCACTAAAGTGGCATTTCGACAGAGGTGCTTATGGGAGCTGGGATAGCACTAGACAAATGCAGGGCTAGTCCTAGCACCTGCCTTTTTCCAAACCTCAGCTTCAAGCAAATGTCAGCTTGATTCATAATGGAATCATCCAAACTACATGCAAATACCCCACCCCAGGTAGTCTCATTAATTTAGCCTCTATCTATCTATCTATCTATCTATCTATCTATCTATCTATCTATCTATCTATCTATCTATCTATGGATTTAGCTCAGCTCTGAACAGACTGGACAGACTGGGCTAATTCCTGTTTTCCTCCTAGAGAAGAATGGCTCCAGCTACCATTTGTGTCACTGTGTGTTCACACAGCTTGCAGAACTCTTAATACTCCAGAGACTGCAGAGCAATTTGTACCCTGATCTTGGACCTGGGGGCTTGCAGCACAATTAGATGTGTACCAGGGTAGACAAGGCAGCCAGAATCTCTATGAGTGCACCCTTTGGGAAGATCACGGTGGGGTGTTGGGTAGACAGACTACTGGCACGTGTGAGGCTTCAACAAAGTCAGGCTCCACGGAACAGATCGTCTAATTACAGGAGCATTCCTCAACCCAAGACGCTGCTCTGAACCTCCCACTGCACACGGAGAATTTCTGCTCTGTCACTGCATCTGCAGTTTCTGCTGCAGCCCCTGCATGCCACCCTTCCCTCACATGCTTTTGAAGCAGGTGGAGGGGAAGATAGGACCTAGAAGGTGGTGGCAGATGACGAGACGGTAGAGGGGAGGAAGATGAACCAAAAAAAGAGCCTTTCTTTGAGAAGAGAGCAGGGGATACATTTTCACATCACTGAGGGAAGGCAGATGGGGGTGAAATAGGAACATGGAGGAGAGGGAAACTAAATAAAGAGCACCAACGACCCCTGAGGGCAAAGCACAGGCTCTCCAAGGCACTCACTCAGGCTGCCCAGCTGTCGGATGACATTTGCCAGGGTGATGTTGGTCCTGCATTCCAGCTCGCTTGTATCGCTAGGCAACGTCTGACGGCACAGGTGCCTTGGCTCGATGTTCCTGGTTACTAACGGCATGGTGGACCTGCTTCAGGCAATGTTCTCAATGATGAAAAACAACCTTAAAAAGAAATAACAGGAAAACAGTACTTAACCACAGATCCCAGGCACATTGGGCCATGTTGAGTCTTCTTTCCCTTTTCAGTACTGTTCTGATCTAAACAGTTTTGCTGTTGTTTTGTTTGTTAAATCTTTACTCCCCTGTCTGCCTTCTAGTTTAAGCATCTTACCTTCTTTTCAAGGGTTACTAAAGAGTCTTACTATAAGTTTAGAAATTCTGAACTGGTGATATCATGGAGGCAACAAAAACCTTCAAGTAGCAATTACTGCTCTAACCAATAAGAGCCCTCCAGACAAAGAGGCTCAGTCAGAAAATAGCAGGTACAAGACAGTGAGTGGTACAGATGCTATCCTTGGGGTATCCGCAACCAATACAGATCAGATTGTAGACCACCAGTTACAAGGTTCAAAAACATCCTACTGCAGCAAGGAATGCAACCATGGTACTTACTAGCACGCATGAGACCCCAGGTTTGAGCCCCAACCCCAACATGGCCTGAACTAGACATGGTGGTGCACGTAAGAAGCAGGAGTATGAAAGTTCAGTCATTCTCAGCTAAATAGGAGTTCAAGGCCAGACTGAACCACGTGAGTTCCTTTTCTAAAGGAAAAATTTAAAAAAGAAAAGGAAAAAACAAAGGCAGCCTTCCTCACCTTCATCTGATACTTGCCTCAATTAATTCAGCTGCCAACAGTGATTCCACAGATAAGCCTCTGTATGTAACTTCTCTAGATCTTCCTGGATGATGACTGGTAACATACAACTAAATACTGGCTGCCAGGATCTATGAACCTACCAAAGTTTAGTCTGTAAACTGACAGAACGAAGGAAAATCAAGAAAAAATTCACATGTTCAATACATCGACCAGGACGTTGAACCATCTGTGTTTTAAGACTCCCTGGCCCTCTCTTCCACGCAATGCTCCTCTACTGAATTCTATACACCTGGGCCAAGACCTGCAGCGTGTGTCTGGAACAGATGCAGAAACCTTCCATCACTGTTTCTCATCCTGGTAGCTGAGCCCTTTCCCAAGGTGTCCACCTGACAGGCCAGCACTTCAGGCTCACATGGAGCTATTATTTAGATTTACCAAATTCCTACATTACTAAGTCAAGGAGAAAATGGTTATGATCAGAGCAGTCAAGTCACAGCAGACAGGCCTTGTTTTCATATCTTAGGAAAATATAAAGAAATCTAAAATGTCTTAACAGCATATGTGCAAGGGGAAATGGAAAACTCACATAAAATGAAAAGGCACAAAGACAGGCAACTACAGAAACTCCTCAACCATAAATTCCTAAGAAGAAGAGGAGGAAAAGGAAGAGTCAGGTTTACTCACTTCAAATCCTAAAACACCAGCTCATCACCAGAGTTGTTTGCGAACACAAAATGCTTACGGCAAGCTAATTACTGTAGAGACTAAAAGAAAACCCGCATTTTGTTTCACCCAAAACAAAAACCCCAAACTAACAAGTACACAGAGGCAGTGGGACCCTCTGGAACAGGCTGCTCCTTGTTATGGACATTCTGGTCTTCTACAAAGTAAAAATAAAACAGGAAGCCAGCAGCCTAGGGAACAAGATTTCCTGTCACCAGCAGCAACAGCCTAGTGACTAAAAGAACCAGCTGTTTGCTTCTAACTTTGAACCTCCCTAACGGTCACTGTGTGGCAGCTGTGCCTATCTTTGGGGTGCAGAGGTGTTTCCTGAATACTTGTCCACTGTCTTAGGAAATGACTTCATTCCATATCTCTATTAAGACCCACCAGGTTTTTAACCCAAACTCCAGACTTTCGAGTCTCTTTCCATCTTTTACTTAAAGCAAATGGCATCAGGTACAAAGATAGACGCACACTTACACTCAATAACACATGTTGATTAATGAATCTAAACCATGGTAAAAAGAATCTAGAACAGGAAAGGAGGTGGGAGTTAAACGCAGCTGAGCCAGTGCAATGGCTGAGTGCATGAATACGAGCTGCAAAGCGTGACAGCCTAAATTCAACCCCAGGATCCGATCCACATGCTGCAAAGAACCAACTTCTGGGGCTAGAGAAACGGTGGCGCCGGGGCTAAGAGCACTTAATGTAGTGGTGGTGCATACCTTTAATCCCAGCACCCAGGAGGCAGAGGCAGGCGGATCTCTGAATTTGAGGCCAGGGTGAGTTCCAGGACAGCCAGGGATATAGAGAGAAACCTTTGTCTCAAAAAAACAAAAGTAAATAAGTAAATATAAAAAGGACAGAGTAAGAGAAAAATTATGTTACTATTTTTCAAACAATCAAAAAAGCAGATCTGCTATTTCTTTTAAATGATGGTTCTTCTGACTGGGTGTTCCAGGCCTTTAATCTCAGCACTTTGGAGGCAAGGCAGGTAACATCTGGGTTGGGGTCTGCCTGATCTATAGACAAGTTCAGGATAGGCAAAGTTACACAGAAAAACAAACAGAAAAAACATTTTTTTTGTGCTTGCAATAAGGCTCAGCAGTTAAGAGCACTGGATGCTCTTCCAGAGGACATGGGTTCTAGCCCCAGCACACAGTGATTCACAACCATCTCTAACACTAGTTTCCAGGTGATCTGATGCTCTCTTTGGCCTTTGAGGACACTGTACTCAAATAGTGCACAGACACACATGCAGGCAAAACACCCACATACTTAAAAATAAATCTGTGAGCTGGGGGGGGGCATTTTTCAAAGACATCAAAAAGAGACAAGATTGTCTGCTATATGAATTACCTATACCAACTGCTGACTTTTCTTCTAGATAATCAAGGATTGGTTGTCTTCTATATAAGAAGCATGAAATCACGCATACTCTGAACCACACTAGTAATTTGACAAAAGAAAAAAAAAATCCTACATTTGAATGACGATAAACATAGAAATGGTAAACAGATTTCAGTCTTTAGAAAATACAGGGAGCCGGGAGGCGGTGGCGCAAGCTTTTAATCCCAGCACTCGGGAAGCGGAAGCAGATGGATCTCTGTGAGTTCAAGGCCAGCCTGGTCTACAAAATGAGTTCCAGGACAGCAAGGACAGTTATACGGAGAAACATTGTCTTGAAAAGAACCAAAAAAGAGGAAAAGAAAAAAAATACATGGGTTTTGGAGTTAGGGCATACATGAGTTGGTCTCTTGACTTTGTTATTTCATAATTGTGATCTTCAATGATTTTTCTTTTTCTTTTCTTTTTTTTTTTTTTTTCGAGACAGGGTTTCTCTGTAGCTTTGAAGCCTGTCCTAGAACTAGCTCTTGTAGCCCAGGCTGGTCTCGAACTCATAGAGATAAACCTGCCTCTGCCTCCTGAGTGCTGGGATTAAAGGCATACACCACCACTGCCTGGCTAAACTTTTTTTTTTGGTGGGGGGGGGCGGTTTCGAGACAGGGTTTCTCTGTAGCTTCAATGATTTTTCTATAGACACTGAAAAATCTATCTAAAATTCCCTCTATAGAGCTTAAAGCAAGGGGACAGTTATTTGTAGTTCCACAGATCCTAGGCAAATCTTCCTACTGAATGAATTCTATTCATTGATAAATATTTAAAAACACTTTAAACCATAGACATATTACATAGTTGAATGCAGCATTCACATAAAAAATTTAAAGATGAAACCCTAGACTTCAATGGACTTGATGGGTTTTCCCCTGAAGTTGCCCCTAGCTATACTCTCAGACCTCCTGAAATACAGAGCTCTCCTCCAGTCTCTCACAACTGTGCTCCTCATCTGAAGCACAGAACAAAAGAAATGATTAGAGCGACTGTTTTCTCAATTTTCCTCAAGACTGTACATAAGGAATACCACTGTCGATGCCCCAGAGAAGTTGATAGCTCACACACAACAGGTGCCCACAGCATCAGGCTTTCCCGTCTCCCTTCTCTTGTGGAAATCTAGTTACAGAGGCCATAGAAGTCCTGCTCTACTGGGGAACTGGGAGAACACTGGGTTTTGAAGAACCTCTGAGACGAAGGTTCTAATCTGCATTTTAGACAGATCATTCAACTATAAGGACAAAGGCTACGTAGGCAGAAGGCTGGAGGTAGAAGATCAACTGAGAAACCTCACAGGATCAGGAGAGTAGACTCAGAGACCCATCACACCCCAGCTAGCACTTATGAAATGAGAAGCCAGAGAGGTTGCAGGAGTGAGTCTAGCCCATCAGTCCCACCTGTTGCTCTTTCTGTACTGTTCCGCACAGTTATAGTAACAGAGTGATAACATGTATGCTCCTTCAGTAAAGGTGTCATTAAAACCTTAAATGCTAGTGCTAGAGAGGACTGTAAACAAAGTAAGGAGAACCAAAATAGTGATTCTTGGTCAGGAAAAAGATATGAGGGCTGGGGATACACCTCAGAGGCAGAACACTTGGCCAGCATGCACTAGACCCTGGGTTTTAACCCCAACATTACTTTAAAAAAAAAAAAAAAGGCTAAAGTTCTAAATACAGGAAAGAGTGAAATACCCTGTTTTTTAATGGAAACAGTAAATGTCCTTTCCAGTCATATTTGATTTTTTTTCTTTATTGTGCAGGTGTTTGTGTGATGCACAAGTAAGTGTACAAGTGTATACACAGATGCTAAAGGAGGGCACCGAGTATCTGCCCTTATTGCTCTCTATTTCTTAGTACCTGGAGACAGCGTTTCCTCAAACCTGAACCTGCTGCTGTGACTAGACTGGCTGGCCAGTGAGCATCCCAGGATCCTGTCCCCACCCATCGCTGGGGTTATAGGTAGACATGACCATATCTTAGCTCTTACATGGGTACTGGAGATTTGAACTTGAGTCCTTACGCCTGCACAGCAAGAGCTCTTACCCACTGAGGCCTCTCTCCAGTCCTTCGTCATATAGTACTTTTGATTAGGAAAAGCTCATGATATAGCAGTGTTGCTAATCTGGGGATTTGAGGAAGTCTTATCTTGAGAGCTGTTACATAAAAAGTGAATTAGAACTGTCAAAAATATACAAAGTTACAGAGAAGTAAATTTCAATTTATCTTGTTC